ATATATATACCTGTTCTCTTACAGTCACATCACACACACACACACACACACACACACACACACACACACACACACACACACACACACGATGTATTACCCCTACCATGGGGGCTGCATTTTATTATTTATTTATTTATTACAATCTGTTAGGAGGGTAGATCTTATGTTAAGTATACAATACAGTATTGTTAACTATAGGCACTGTGCTGCACAGTAGGCCTCTAAGACTTATCCATCTTGCATAACTGAGTTTGTACCCTTTGACTAATAAATATCTCCCTGATCCCTCCCCCCCACAGCCCCTGGTAACCGCCGTTCTACTCTCTGCTCCCATGAATTTGATTATTTTAGACTCCTCATATAAGTAGTATCATGTGGTATTTGTCCTGTGACTGGCTTATTTCACTTACCATAATGTCTTCCAGGTTCATGCATGTCATCGCACATGGCAGGATTTCCTTCTTTTTATGGCTGAATAATATTCCGCTGTATGTGTATATCACATTTTTTTAGTTCATTCATCTGTCAATGGATATTTAGGTTACTTTCATGTCTTGGCTATTGTGAATAATGCTGCAGTGAACATGGGAGTGCAGATAGCTTTTCGAGATCCTGATTTCAATTCCTTTGGTTGTATGCCCAGAAGTGGGTTTGCTGGATCATACAGTAGTTCTATTTTTAATTTTTGAAGAACCTCCATACTGTTTTCCACAGTGGCTGTACCAATTTACATTTCCTCCGACAGTGTACAAGGGTTTCCTTTTCTCCACATCCTTGCCAACATTTGTTATCTTTTGTTTATTTGGATAGTAGCCATCCTAACAGGTGTGATGTGATATGTCATTGTGGCTTTGATTTGCGTTTCCCTGATGATGAGTGATGTTGAGCATCTTTTCATAGACCTGTTGGCCATTTGTATGTCTTCTTTGAAGAAAGGTCTATTCAGTTCCTTTGCCCTTTTTAAAACTGGATTATTTGGTTTTTGCTATTGAGTTATAGGAATTTCTTATATTTTTTTAGGTATTAATCCTTTTCAGATATATGGTTTGCTAATATTTTCTCCCATTGTGTGCGTTGCCTTTTTACTCTGTTGATTGTTTCCTTTGCTGTGCAGAAGCTTTTTAGTCTGATGTAGTCTCGCTCACCTGTTTTTGCTTTTGTTGCCTGTCTTTTTGGTGTCATATCTAAGAAACCATTACCCAGACCAGTGTCAAGAAGCTTCTACCCTATGTTTTCATCTAGGAGCTTTATGATTTCAGGCTTTACATTTAAGTGTTTAATCCATTTTCAGTTGATTTTTGTGTATGGCATGAGATAGGGGTCCGATTTCATCCTTTTGCATGTGGGTATCCAGTTTTCCCAGCACCATTTATTGAAGAGACTGTCCTTTCCCCATTGTGTGCTCTTGAGACCCTTGTTGAAGTTCAGTTGATTCTTCACGGTTTAGAAGAATTAATATTGTGAAAATGTCTATACTTCCCAAAGTGATCTACGAGTCCAATGTAATTCCTATCAACACCCCAAAGGCATTTTTATAGAAACAGAAAAAGTGATCCTAAAATACATACAAAACCACAAAAGACTGAACAGCCAAAGCAATTTTGAGTATAAAGAACAAAGCTGGAGGCATCATACTTCCTGATTTCAAAATATATTACAAAGCATCAGTAATCAAAACGGTGTAGTACTGGCATGAAAGCAGATGTACAGACCAATGGAGAATAGAGAGCCCAGAGATAAATCCACCCATGTATGGGAGCTGCATTTGGGAAGAGACCCTTCACAGCAGTGGGAAATGCTAAAGGGGAGCTGTTTCTGGTGGGCGACTCTAGGCCCCAGCAGGGAGGTTCTGGGGAGAAGGCAACTGAGGACCCTTCTGACTCCCTTCTTTATATTATATAAGTTGCTTCCTTTTCTGCTTGTAGATGACAAGGCCAAGGACGCTCTGGCCTGACCTTGACTTCCCTGTCCAGAGGAATGTAGGACAGGGGTGTTTTCACCAGCCACAGACTCCAAACCCTTTCCCCTGTCGCCTGCCAAGTAGCTTTGCACCCAGGCCTCATTTGGAGCATGAAGGCGACCTGTGCTCTTTTGCTCCTATAGCCTTCTGTTTCCCCACCTCTTTGACATGCAGTCTGACTGAAGAGGCACCGCAGATGTGCTCTGGGCAGGAGTATTAGAAACCTTTGGGGAAGTTCAAGTCAGGCAGACCCTGACTTAAAGGAGTTATCTTTGGTTGTCAGCCTAACCTGCACCTGCCCGAGGCCCTCCCCTTCAAGTTCCCCAGGTGTCAGCCACCCAACCAAAAGATCTTTAAAAATAAATGGAGTTGAATTAATTGGTTGCCATATTGCCCCATTAAATCAATGTAAACACAGTTTAGAAGTGATTTCATTGCTGGTCATTTCTGTAAAAAGTTGAGAAGGAGAGGGCTCTCAGGGAGGACTCCCACCACAATTACAGCGGTGTTCCTTTGAGAAAGCTAGATTGGATTCATCTCTATTTTAACTGAAAACAGAGCTTTCCAGGATGCAAACGACTAGTAAATTTGAGAGATTTGTAGATCAAATTGCAACTTAAATGCATCAGGAGGCTGACTTACTGCTGAAATGCATTCCATGGTGAATCCTTCTATGGAAAAGAAGGATGCTTTCTGCGAAGACAGGTTGCCTCCCTGGCCTGCAATGCCCAGGACTGGAGTTTTTGGACTGGATTTTTGGAGGTCATGTTTGTAGCAAGTAAGGGCTACTGAATAGTTTGGTTTTTAGTTATCATATTTTTTCCCTGCTTATAAAAAGAGTAGAACATTCTTAATATAGTGAAAGTATGAAGCAGAAATAAAAATTACCTATAACTGCAGAACTGAATGATGGTTGTCATGCCTCTGTGGGGTGTGTGTGTGTAGATGTCTCTATATTAAAATGGACCTGGGATCTTCCTGTGAGAGTTTGGTCAGTGGTCAAGACCCCTAGATTATGGCGGGGTAGGAGGTGGTAGTCTTTCTACACCCAGAAGGTGGTCGGTGTCAGAGACTTTTTAAAACAGTAAGCACCAGTTAGAAAGGAAACTCAGGCAGGTGGGGGGCCAGGAAGCAGGGGCCCAGCAAGCAGACCTTCACCTGGGTCATCTGTGTCTGTGCTGAGGATGTAGTCTGGGAGCGCCCAGGGCAGCCTCCTAATAAACAGCTACCTGTTTTCTTGGAGGCTGCTTCTCTCCCAAGACACTATTGGGCATCTGGTCCCCGTTCTTGCCTTTTCCTTCCTTCAGTTTTACTTTCCCTCCAGTCCACCCTCTCTGGACTAACAAGATGCCCTTGGATTAGACAGCTATTTGGGTCACATATGTGACTTCCACTGCAGGGAACCTTATATTCAAAGAGGTCCTGGAGGGAGCAATGCTTCTTCCCACAAGGACTGACACTGTTGTGGTGGGATGCAAGGCACCGGCTGGTACGGGAGGTCTTTGGGGGCACAGAGCCTTCCTAGTGCATTTTAAGCATGAAGTGCAGGGACCTTCCAGGGTCTCTGAGAAGGTGCCAGGAGCCTGGCAGGAGACCAGGAGCTTACTCTCTCTGCCCTTGGGGAAGCCACAGACAGTTTGCCTTTCCATGATGACAGCAGCTCAGATGAGAGTCCTGAGGACTTGCCGTAGCAGGTGTAAGCTGTCCCTCAGAGCAGTGTGTGGACAGCAGGCTTCTCACCCACTCTCTGGGTTAGAATCTGGGCCCCACCACTTAATAGCCATGTTAATAGGAGTAGATTATTTAGACTCTCTATTCTCAGTTTGCCTACCTATAAAATGGAGATAATAGCAGTACCCTTCAAGTCGTCTTGTTGTGAGGATTCATTGAGTTATGCACTTAGTATAGTACCTGCCACAGAGTAAATCCCTGATAAATGTTATCCACTATCATCATGTCTTAGCTCAGGCTGCCATAACAAAATACCACAGACTGGATGGCTTAAACAACAGATATTTATTTCTCACAGTTCTGGAGCTTGGAAGTCCAAGATCAGGGTGCCAGCATGGTTGGATTCCAGTGAGGACCCTCTTTTCGTTTTGTAAACACGTACCTTCTGTGTGCTCACATGGCAGACAACAGATCACTCAGGTCTCTTCTTCTAAGGGCACTAATGCCACCAAGAGGGCCCCACCCTCCTAATCTCATCTAATGCTAATCGCCTCCCCAAAGCCCCATCTCCAAATACCATTCACATTGGGGGCTGAGGCTTCAACATATGAAGCGAGGGAGAGGGGGGACAACATTCAGCTTCTAACAATCATCGTTATTATTTTGGTTGTCATCTGTTAGTCCCCTTGCAAGTCATTCTTAGGACTGGGGCAATCTCATACATAAAGGAAAGAAAGAAATAAGGGAAGGTCCTTTTGTCTCCAGTGGGATCTTAAAGCCCATGGTGGTGGGTCTCAAGCCTTTGGGAGACTGGTGATTTTCCAGCGTTATATTTCCCTCTCCTTCTGACCTTTGGAAAACAGTTCTTGGTTGTCCTAGTCTGGGTAAGAGAAAGAAGGAAGACGTCAGATTATTAGGCGGCTTCTGCTCTGAGCCAGGAAGCTGGGTGTGTGGGGGGTTCACACCACTGGCTCCTCACAGCCACCCCTCTGGGGTAGGCACTGTCATTCCAAAGGGGCACTAAGATTTGAACCTTCAGCCTTTTGACCCCCAGGCCCTTGGAATGTGCAGCTGGTGTGGGGAGGGGTGGAGTGGCCAAACTGGGAACAGAATTTGGATTGGGATGGATTCTGAGGACAGGTGGATGCAGCAGGAAAATGCACGATCTGGGTCTTTCCACTCTGCGGGTGCCCACTGACTCCAGCTGAGCAGTCACACTCTTCGGAGCCCCAAATTCCTCCACTAGCAAAGGTTGCCCCCACCACCCCACCTCCACTCAGCTGAAGATGAGTAGCTCTCCGGCAGGAGGTCACTGTTAAGGTCCAGTAACCCAGACTCTGTTTTCTCTTCTGCTCTTGTCCTTCCCCAGCCCCTAAGGACAATGAAGAGCGTGTGTTCAGGGAACGTATGCGGCCGAGAAAGCGGCAGGGAGCCGTCAGGCGCAGGGTCCACCAGGTCAATGGCCACAAGTTCATGGCCACCTACCTTCGGCAGCCCACCTACTGCTCCCACTGCAGAGATTTTATCTGGTAAGCCCATCTCTCCTGGGAACCTCTAGGTATGACTTCTCTTGCAAGAAGTTGGGGATGGGGGGCTAGATTATAAACTTCATTTAAAAAGCACTCATAGGTTTTATTTCTTCTTTATCTGATTGCAGAAGACTTTCCTGGAGGGCTAAGTGTGTTTGGTGCATGGGTGGAATAAATGCAAAGAAGAAACTATGGTTCTTGGTGACTTTATGCTTTTCATATCATATATTTAGGGAGTTAAGGTTTTATAACCAATAATGATATTGTGGTTGTGTCTTTTTTTTTTTTTAAAGAATCCTTATCTTTTAGAGAGACTGAACTGTTTATAAATGAGATGATATGATACCTGGAATTTGTTTAAAAAAAAACTCCTAAAAGTAGGGGAGAGGAGCTGGGGTAGAGATGATACAAGACCGGCCATGTGTTGATGATTGTTGAAGCTGGGTGATGGATATGTGAGGGTCCATTATATTTGTCACTCTACTTATACATATATATATATACACATATATGAATTTTTCCATAAGGAAGCCAAAAAATACTTGATTGCCAATATCTGTAACGCAAAGCAGTTCTCAGCAAATTCTAACATTGCTGCTGCTAGGATGCTGAGGTTTCAGAGGAGCGAGAGAGCAGCATCCATTGGCTGGAGTGGTCAGGGAAGGCTTCCTGGGGGAGGTGGCATTTCTCCTTTCATGGTGACTAGGATTTTGATAAGCAGAAAGAGGTAGGTAGTAGGCTTTTTGGGAGATGGAAGAGGATAATGGAGTGCTGGTCTTGGGGTTGGAGGGGGACTTTTAATGAATAACCACCACATACCGGATTCTACCTTAGGCATGGAATTATCTAATTAAATCTTCCCAATATCCTATGAGCTATGTAGTATTAACCCCATTCTGCTAACAATACCAAGGTTCAGAAATGAAAAAGACACTAGTCTGATGTCCTCTAGCTTGGAAGTATCAGAGGCATGATTCTATCCCCTGGCTAGGCTGATTTTAAAGCTCCTGCTTTTCCTGACATTCCACCAGCCTTCCCAGCAAGGTCTCTGAGCTCTCTGAGGAGGATGTAGGGGTTGCCGGCACACTTGGATCCAGAGGGGGAGAACAATTGAGGCCAGGTTTCAGTATGAACCCAGCCAGGGGATGATTGAATTAGGCTGTGAGGACCCGCTGCATTCCTGAGGTGTCCAGGAGTAGCTTTTCTTATTCTCATGGTGTACGAAACAAGTCACTGAGGTTGGCATGGACATCTGAGATGACACAGCTCAAAGCAAACTCAACCCAACTGAGGCAGAAATAATGCCCCGCCCCAGCCACAGACACTTCTCATTCCCAAGGCTGGCTGAGCCATCTGACCTCCATGTTCTGTATTTTGGTTATGATTTAGTGATTGGTCTCCTCTAAGCCCGTGGGGAACAGCACTGAGCTCCAGGTTTCCCAGGGCGTAGGCTGAAGGACTCTGGCTCCTCCCGCTAGCTGGGAACTGCAGGGAGCTCCCTGACTGGCTGTTGTTGGTACATGGAGGATGGGGTAAGGCCAGGTTTGTTGGATAGTTCCGTGTTCATACTGACCTCCAGCCTTGCCCCAGGGACCTTACTCTGGCCATGTAGGGGAAACCTCTAATGTTGGTCTTCACCCACATGGTAGATTGAACCCCCAGTCCTGGCCACACACTGGCTCATAACCCTTCACAGTCCTGCACATTTAGCCTGCAGAGCATGTCCTAGGGCTTAAAGACAAAGAACAGTCATTTTATCCATGGTGAAGGGCACGTTCACCTGATCAAGGCCTGCTGAGATCAGGCAGGGTCATTTGTGGCTTTCTAGAACACTGCTGATCCTGCTGGAATGGCGATTTATGTAGGAAACCAAGCCCTGGCACTGACCAAACCTTGCACTGGGGTTGCCCTCCAAGCACTGGGGCTTCCCTCTGCGGTCTTCTGGAAGGAGGCATTTTAAGGAATCCTACAAGCGGGAATGAAATCCTGCTGCTCAGTGGACTCTATGGAACTTTGTGCAATGTGGGTGGTGGCCAGAATTGGGTGGCTTTGTATGTATGTGTGCTTTTTGACCTAGTAAAATTTCGTTTTCTTAAGGGGCTGTCTTCTTCTTTTCAGGGGTGTCATAGGAAAGCAGGGATACCAGTGTCAAGGTAAGAGGTATTTTATGAACCAAATCTTTGGTGATTAGGTGCAGATTGCTGATGCTCCAGGAGGCATGTGCTAGTCTGATGACATTTAGAGGCTCTATATAGTTTGCATGCTTTGTGTGCTATGCTCCCCTCCAAGAACCGGGACTCTGCTTGCCTTGTCCCCACCTGGCTGTTGCTCCCACATATGTACGTGTACTTATATGTATGAGAGGTACCTGGCAGGTACCACCCATCTGCAGGTGTCCCAGTGGTCTCAGCAAGCCCCCACTCCACCCGGCCTTTTTGTGTCAGCTGGAGCAAGTAGCGCTTTCATCATTCCTAGTGAGACATGACTTCACCTGGAGGCCCTTTGAGAGTCCCTCTTTGCACTGAGCTGGGTCTGTGTATTCTGTCCCTTCTTTAGTCAGTATCACTGAGTGGTGTTTGCTGATTCTCTTTTTTATCTCTACTGTGGAATCATTAGCTCTTAAAAATTTAAAGCTCGCTAGAAGGTATTTAATTGACTACAAACACAAGGTTAAGTTGCACAAAATTGGAGGCTGGAAACATGGTGTGGTCAAGTTGAGGTTTCTCTGCGGTTAGAGCAGGGAGGCTGCTCCATCTCCTCGCCCAGCACTGCTTAACTTGGTTGGGTCTCACTCTTGGGGAATGAGGGTGGAGTCTGTGGGAGGTGGCTGTGTCTTTTGGGCAACAGGTGAGCAAAAAGAGAGTTAGTTCGTCAGCCACCTATTGTCTACACAGCTCCATAACACAATAGACAGAGCTACAGGCCACTTCTTGTGGACATATTAAACTCAAGGGAAATTTTAACATTCGGCATGTAAGGGCACAACAGATTAAAAAGCCTAAGAACTTCTGTGCCACCTGCTGCAATTCTACCTATGACAGCAGCCACTCTGGCATGATCCTTAGTGGAGCAGGAGATAACTGCAACACCTTTAATAGACAGTGCTCCATGGGAGGGCTGGGCAGGGAATTATTCCCTGACCTTGGATATTGAAGCAAGAAAATTGATCAGTACTCCCGGAACTAGAGAAAACTGATGCCCTTTGAATGAAATATAAATGTTTCATTCTTCTCCAGAGCATTAGGAAACCCTAATGGCTCTAGTGGCAAAGTGTTTTGAAATAACTCCATACAGGGCTTTAGCAACAATGTAGAATTAAGACCCATGACAGAAGGGCATGGCTCCCCTTGTGCCTCCATTGAGACCTGATTAAATCTTGGGATGAAAACTTTCTTTTCCCCGGTCACTCAGCCTTCCTATTTTTGCCATTTGCAGTTTGCACTTGCGTGGTCCACAAGCGATGTCATGAGCTCATAATTACGAAGTGTGCTGGATTAAAGAAACAGGAAACTCCCGACGAGGTAAATATTTATCACATTCAATATCTGGGCTTTCTTCACCTCCTGCCCCTCCTTCACAGCCTCCTCCTCAGTCCCCAAGAAAACCTTATCTCTCTGGGATCCTGTGGCTTGCTTCATTGTGTTGGTCAAAAATGAAGGGAGTTGTCCACAGTCTTCTGGCGTGAGGACAAGCTACAGAATGAACACAGCTCCAAATCAGTTCTGCCCCTGTGGGTGTTCTGCAAGAGCAGCATGATCCTGGAGCTAAAGCCCGCAAGGAACACGTGAATTCTTTTAGTTCCTTATCTCATCGGAACACTGAAGTGACAAACTGATGTGTCAATGGCTCCAGCAGGTAATAAACAGTGATAGAAACACAACACACAAGCAGAGCCTTATCTTTAATGAAGTGATGGGGGAACGGAGTGAACATATACAAGGAACACTTAGGAGATGGAAATAACCGCAATAATAATTACAGTCAGCAGTCGTGGGGCACTTACCATGTCCTGATTTAACACTTTAACATCATTTAATCCCATACCGACCGTAAGGAGGTAGATGTTATCATCATTTTCATTTACAACAGAGAGAATGAAGGCACAGAGAGGTCAAATTACCTTGCCCCAAATCACACAGCCGGTATGTGAAAGAGCCACGTTCAAACCAGGCAGCCTGTTCTGGGGTCTGAGCCCTTGACCGCTGCACTGTGTTGTCTCTTAATCTTAGAAGCTAGTGTCAGATTGGCTCTTAGGGAAGTTGCTGGGGGTAAGGAAGCAAGTAAATTCAACGACGAAGCTAAGTTTCTCCTAATTGAGTGATTGGGAGAATGACGGTCCCACTGAGAGATTAAAAAGCCTCTCTGAGAAGATGACAGGTGTGATACAAGTCTTAGGTGTTATCTGTGTTCAGAACAGGTGGTTTAAAAGCCATGCTTTTAATTCTAGGTGAAGGAAATGAGTACTGTATGATCATGAGCCGTCAGAATTAGGGGTCAGAGTGAGGTCCTGGGTGGGTTTATAATCAGCCGGGTTTATAACTTGGCTTCCAAAAGGAATGATTTATAGAGACTTTCTACCTGCTTGTCAGTAATTCAACCAAATAACATCTTGGCATCTAAGGCATTTCCCATCTTTTATCTCCTTTTGCTTTCATACCATCTCTGGAAAGCAGCAAGGGACAAGGCTTAGACTAAGCCTTTCATGTCCCTGAAGAGCAGACAGAGTCCAGGGCGCCAAAGTTGTTTGCAGGGCTTCTCTTGTCATGGTTACAATTGCAAGTCAGCACCGGGGTCTCCTGGTCTAGGACTATAGCCCCAAGTACACTGTTACCCACATTGCTTTCATGGATAAATGAAAGAAAGAGATGGCTTGCTGGCTGTCTGGCTTCCTTCTTTCCCGTGGACAGTCCATTGAACATTTATTGGGCACTTCCTGTATGGAAAGGATGTGCCATGTCCCGTAGAAACAAAGAACACTCCTACGTTCACAGGAGTCCTGCCCCCAAGGGTCTTACAAGTCTCATCACCCGTGGACATCTGCAGGTTCCTAAAGTTCTGTACTTCCTTGGAGGGAAAAGTCCTACAAGAGTCCACGCCATGCAGGATAGACAGTTGAGATTTGAAATGCACAGAACCCAGCTTGATCTGTGACCTGGTTCTTCTGACGGTCTTTCCTGGCATACTGAGCAGTGAAGATTCTTCCACGATATGCATTCACAAATTTAGCGTGTGTCCCAAGGGACAAATTGCTGTGTATTAAGGAAGGTGGGCTCTGAGTTTGTTCGCTTGACAGAGCTGACTGCCCATCCCAGTTCTCCCCACCCTTATCTTGTGCCTGTCTCCTTTAGTGTCTGTGTGTCTGGCCCATCAGGGCAATGGCCATGCCCTCTGCCAGGTACTGACTGCTGGGGACCAACTCTTGACTTCATTCTTTGTCACCACCTTCAGTGTGACACACACGTGCACACACGCACATACGCACATCTATATACATACACACCACAAGCACGTGTGGCCCTCAACACCATGCTCTCTCCTATTGAACGGCGCTCTGCTGACGGGTTCCTGGGACCTTTCATACGTGAGCACTCAGCCGGTGTGCCTGCCCTGTCTTGTGTGTGTGGTGACACTGAGGACTCCCTCCCTCACTCTCTGCACTTCCACGTGTGGTAGTCAAGGCATGCTGTGTCTTTCTTTGTGTCTCCTTTTCTTTCTTTTTGTCTTCTTTTAAATCTTGCAGTTCTGTCTTTCTGCCCTTTCTTTCTCTGCATGTTCTCTCTGTGAGTCTCGCTCATCCCTTTTGTTTCTGTGTCTTCCTCAATAGGACTGTGTGTGTGTGCGTGTGTGTGTGTGCGTGTGTGTGTGTGTGCGCACCTGCATACACATATGCGCAGTCTCTGTGTTTCTTCTGTCTGACTCAGTGGCATGTTTTTGTGTGTGCACCTTCATCCTCCTTCCACCCTTCTCTGATATGTTAGCATCCTTAGTGGTCTCAGCTAAGGGCCACATGGCTCTGTCCACACCACGCTGAGTCTCCTAGTCCCTCAGAATAACTCCCACCTCTTCACCTTAGTCTGTCATTCATATCCCTGTGAGGCTATTCCTGGGAGACCACGATTCTGTCCTCCGTATGGGTCCACCACATCTTCAGGATTTGTTGGGATAGAGTGGGCACTGTGACCACATACGTCCTCAGGGGTGAGGCACGCAGAGGTAGAGTGGACATGTCTATATTCACAAATAGGCGTACCTCAGCTACGAGTCTAGGAGGGGTGGGTACAGTTGTTTTCAGTAAATCTGGGAACCTTGTACCCAGGCAGGACCCTAATTGATAGCCCATGCATCTCAAGCAGGGATCAGTAAAATCCTGGTCCAGTGGAAAGATCAGCCATTCCTTGGAGCTGAGTATGGAGTCAGATGGGGAGCTCATTATGGAGTCAGGTGACCCTGGGCACATGTACGTGGGCACGGGCATGCCTTTGTGCTTGCATCCAGCCCGTGCCCCTGCTCCTGCCCAGTGCTAATGCTCCCCGCCTCACTCACCGGTCAGCCAGTGAACCAAGGCACAGCTCGGCTGCGTGCTGTCCACTCCCTAACTCCCAGGGTAGCAGAGCAACTTCCTCCCCAGCCTGTGGAGGTCTCTGGTGGTGGTTTCCTGCCCATTCTGAGAGGGGCTTGGGTCATGTGGCTGCTCCACTAGAGGCAGAGAGCAGCTCCATGGAGAGGCAGAGAAGACCCAGGAAGGCAGACTGGTGCTGAGAACCCATGCTTCTGTGAAACACTCCATGTTTCCCACCCCTCCCACCCTCTCCTCTCATTCACCTCCCCATCCTGGGCCATTAAGTGGGACAGGGGTGCCACCCTTATTTGCTAGATGTGAAATCCTAGGACCCAAGGAGTCAGAAAACCTGCCTGAGCCCTCATGGGTGGTCAGTGGCAGACCTAGGCCCATGCACGACATACCTGGGCTTCCTTGCCTTCCCATTTGGCCACCTTCTCTTTACTCCTTTTAAATAACAAGAGGCAGCATGGTGGTTAAAAAGCCTGGGCTCTGAATTCAGACTTGTGTGGGTAGAAGCTTGTCTTTGCCTCTCATCAGCTCACAGCACATTCTTGAGCTCATGGAGCCTTAATTTCCTCGCCTGTGGACTTGGAGTAGCAATGGTTCCACCCCATGGGGTGGTGGTGAGGTTTAACTGAGATAATGGAGCCTGGAGTGTGGTTGGCATGGATACCTTAGGGTCCTCAGTGGTCACCCCTCTGTATTAGCCATCTTTGTTGTAATTATTGTTTGTCCCTAGGCGAGGAGGCTTCCATGCACAGAGCAGCACACAGTGACCTCTTGAGTGCCTGAAGTCTGAGGTGCAAATTGAGGCTGGCTGCTGTGATTGCTTAGAGGCCTGCCATCCTGCAGGGGCTGTGTGGGGGAGCAGGCCTGGCCTGCAAGGTTGGACGGTGCAGCAGACGATGGGTTAGGGGCATGCGAGCAAAGGCTGGGGCCAGGATGGAGGCTCTCTTCACCTAGTTTCTCAGGGCAGCTTTCAGAGCCAAGTGCGTTCCGGGAAAGAAGTTCTGTAACAGTTCCAATAATGAGTGCTCAGGGCATGAAGGAGTTCCATGGTGACCCGTATTTTGCCATCCTTGCAGGTGGGCTCCCAGCGGTTCAGCGTCAACATGCCCCACAAGTTCGGTATCCACAACTACAAGGTCCCCACCTTCTGCGACCACTGTGGGTCCTTGCTCTGGGGCCTCTTGCGGCAGGGTTTGCAGTGTAAAGGTAAGTGCTCCCTGCCCTACCCCCCTCCCCTGTACCCACATGCCCCCCCTATTTTCCTCCTCTTTGTGAAATATGTTTCTCCATTCTCATAGCCTAGAAAGTAAGTTCCAGATTTGTCTGGAGGACTGAGCACAAGCCCTTGTTAAGCCCTCATTAATAACTGCGCACTTGTTAAGCGATCTCTATGCAGAGACTATGCAAGACTGTGGGGAAACACCAAGAGGAGGGAAGGCAGGACCCCCCACCCCTCTTAGGATAGTTAACAAGAGGGGGAGACAAGATGAGTCTATGAAAGTATAGAGATAATTTAAGGAAAGGACACATGGGAGCAGAAGGCAAGAAATAAGTTTGTAGTTAGTCTGTGAAGTAAGTAATAGGTATTTATTGGGGCTTTTTTCTCATGATCTGTGGTTCAGAGCTTACTTTTAGAAGGAGCCTTGCTAAATGCTATCACATAAGCTGTCTTATTGATCCTTCACAGCCTTGTGATGTAGGTGATATTATCCCCATGTCCCTGGTGAGGAGACTGAGGCTCAGCTACTAAGTAACTTGCTCCCATCACACACCTTGTTAGCAGAGGGAGGGTTTGAACCTTGACTTTTGAGTCTCAGTTTCCTTCCTGTTTCTGCTGTCCTGCCCATGAATTGTCCACTTATGTGAATGTGCTAAGCGGCAGATAATATGGGAAGGCAAGAACATATTCTGGGGCCTGAAGAGAGAATCCAGTTTTATAAGGGGGTCCAGCCTGCTCACAGAGTTGGACAACCATGAACTATTGGGCAGATATAGTGCACGTACATTATTTTCTTATTTTGTTTTGTCTTTTGCTTATGTTCTTTTGTCTGGCTAGTACAGGGATCCAAACCCTTGATCTTGGTGGGTTTTTAAAACTTTTTTCATTTGTTTTTTGACCATTACAGGGACCGAACCCAAGACCTTGGTGTTATCAGCACCACAATTTAACCAACTGAGCTAACTGGCCAGCCCTTGCATGGACATTATTTTAAAATAGCATTTTGTTGTTTATTCTGAATGTATTGTTAATTCTCATTGTGGAAAAATTAGAAAAATAGTTAAAGAATAAGAAAACACACTGAAGGCATGAACAAATTGGTCGTTGACAGGATCCCAATGAGAAATTATGAGAATTAGAAATAAGGCGACGGCTGCAATGGAAATAAAGAGGAGAATAACTTAATATTAAGGAGGAGTAATTTGTTGGATGTAGCTGAGAGGATAATACCACCATCCACTGAGACAAAAAATAGAAGGGGGACAGCAGGGTTGGAGGCAGATGGTGGAGCTGAATTGGGGACATGTTAACTCGAGGTGCCTGCGAGAAATTTACATGGAGCTGTCCAGCAGTTGGCTATTCTCATTAAAATTGGGGGAGATCTGGACTGAGCATTTAGATTTGGGATTTGTCAGTGTCTAAGTAGTAGTTAAAGCTATAAAGAAGATGTCGTTCTCCAGGGTAAGTCCCTTAACTATGAAGAAAGAAGAGCTGAAGATAACACCCTGGGGGTGAGGGAAGGTTACCAAATCCAAGGGTGAGCCTGTAGCAGCATGAGAGGGAAGGACCTCGTGGGGAGGAGGAAGAGTAGCAGAGAATGGCATCACGGAAACCAAAAGAGTGGAGAGTATTAAATAAAAATTAAAGAAGTGGTAAGTGGTGCCAAATGCTCCCAAGAGATTATTTAAGATAAGACCTGAAACATGGGGTTGAATTTGACATTGAGGAAGTCACTAGTGACCTTGGCAGGAGTTGTCTAGGTGGGACGGCTGGACGGAAGCCCAAGTACAGTAGACCAAAGTGAGAATGGAGGTGAAGTATTTTCAGAATGTTGTAGATAGTCAAGAAAAAGGCAGTGCTAAGGGAGAGATTGAGCCAGGAGGGAGAGGGGACCATTGATACAGCAGGGGCAGACAAGGGGTAGGCGTTGGGAAGAAAGCTGGATGCCCGCCTCCCAGGTGGAGGGGGAGCCTGGAGACCAGCCTGGGTGCAGGTGCATTTCTGGGGTCAGCGATGGGAATCTAGGAATAGGTGAGTGGGCAAAGGAATCATTTAATTTGAATCTGTTGAGGGCATTGCAACGAGATTTCCCTTCTTTTTGAACTAAGAGGTCCTTTTCAAAGGTGAGGGGAGAAGTGGGGGTGTGGGAGGCATGAGGAGGGTGGTGAAGGTTGGGAATAGCTGTTGTGGGAACTGAAGACAGGGGGAAGCTGTTGACACTCCTGGGGTCGTGCAAGAGGGGAGCGCAGCCATTCCAGTCTCCCTCCTGAGTAATCTCTCTAGCACGCAACCCTCAATGAAACAGGACCTGCTGGAATCCTTCAGGTGAGATGAGAACAATGGAGAAGGAGGAAAGAGATGGAGTGGGGATCTCGACTGTTTTTAGCAAAGGAGTGGTGCATTTTTGGGAAGATGAGTGTGGTTACCGGCAAGCAGAGAGCCTGCTTTGGATGGAACTCTGATGAGGCGATGTCTGTCTTGTAGCAAACATATTAATTATTGATCTACTGAGGGAATCTAAATGAAGATATGTCATCTCATAAATATTAATGCTGTAAGAAAGCAGCCCAGACACCCAGATGTCGCTGCTAGGGCTGTGGGTCCCTGCATGACCCCGGAAGAAGGCAGGGCCCAGGGATAGTGTATTCAGCTCTCTTTTGGCAGGAGATGCTCTTGGACCTGCTCAAATATAGAATGGGACAGTGCAGATGCCCAGAGCGAGTGTCTGTGCACAGGCAGCCAGGGAGCCGGGGAGTCGGGGCACACACAGGCTGGAAGGTGAGGGCTGTTCAGAATTTCGGGACCCCGACATACCTTCCCTCCCCTGTTCCCCCGATGGTGTGACTTGGCTATTTTCCCCTTGCTGCTGTCCTACTCCTGCTGTTCCTGTCTCTCGCTCTTTGTTTTAAATTAGGAGACTTTTTTTAAAGAGCAGTTTTAGATTCACAGCAAAAATGAGAAGGTAAAGAAAGTTCCCATATCCCCCTTCCCTCCCTTCCAACCTCCTCACCACTAATGTCCCCCACCAGAGTGGTGCATTTGTTACAATTGAACCTGCCTTGATGCGTCATTATCACCCACAGCCCATCGTTTGTGTTAGGGTTCACTCTTGGTGCCACACATTCTATGGGTTTGGACAAATGTATAGTGACATGTACCCAGCATGATATCATTATACGGTGTAGTTTCGCTGCCCTAAAAAGCTCCTATTTCAGGCTGACTGGTTAGCTCAGCTGGCTGGAGCAGGGTGCTGATAACACAGACATCCACTGTTTGATCCCGGTACCGGTCAGCTGCAAAAACAAAAATAAACAAAAAACCCTTCTTGTTTCAAAAGAGCACCTGTTTCTACTTCTCTCTTGGTCCTTTCTCAACCTCAAGTCTTTTTGACCCTGCAGACCCCTTATCCTATGGGGAGGGATCATGGTCAGAAGAGGCCAGCACAGGCTCAAGGCAGGGGCCACTTTTGCCCATGCATAAGCCTGGCTCTGCTGCTATGATTACTAAGAAAAAGAAATCCAGACTTAGTGACCCACGAGGGATCCCTGGGCAAGTCCCCATGGAGCTAGAGTTCCAACGCAGGCTGCACCTGGCTCTGGTCAGTGCTCTCCCTGCCCTCTCCTGCTCAGGGCCACTCAGCCAGCCTCACTTCTGCTGGACCACACTGGCTGTCCTCCTGAGCTGGAGCCCCGGTCCCCAGTCCTAGTTAGAGACCAGCCATTTGGCCTGCAAGTCTGTAGCTTCAGCTTTGCTGCCAGTCTTACTCCTGGGAATAGGCACCAGAAAGAGCTGTTTCACGAGCTTAGGTCCACAAGGAAGGATCCATGAGGTTGTCCTGGTCACTCTCCCTTCAGCCTAAAATTGTTCGAGCCACATAGGTTCAAGCATTGTGTATGTATGCGTCGGGGGACTGTCTCTTTGCCAACCAGGTAGAGGGAGTATAATTACCTCCCTTTTACTGGTGGGGAAGTAGAGATCTGGAGAGGTTGGGCAAGGGGCACAAGAGCATATAACCAGGCACCTGAGGGTGCCCCCTGCTCTCTGGGCTGTCATTTCCCTGACATGGCCACAGAGGGGCCAGACCCTCAGAGGATGCTCACAGTTGCTGGGTGGCTGAGCTCCTTAAGCAGGGGCAGAAAGCCCCCGGTGCTGAACAAGCAGGCATTTCATTCCTTCCTTGCTCTTGTGATTCAGGTGCTGCGGAGTCTGTCTCTCTCTCCAGACTTGTCCGTGGGTCTGTCTGAGCACCTCGGCCATTGTCACACAAACTAGCTTCCAAGGCTCAAGCACTAGTGTCACTAGTCTCTGGGGCATTTGAATCCTTTTTGTTCTTCACTTTATTTTAAGGGCGCTGCCTTCTCCAACTTCACTTTCTCCTTCACAGTGACCTGTCTGGGGCCCTTTCCCCGTGTTTTACTTTTCACTGGACACATGGAGTCAGTCCCCCAGGCAGGAGAGATACCGATACCTCATGACTGTTTCCTTCTCTAGAGAAGATTTGGTGTTCTGGCCTGCCCCATGGGCCGCCCCACGCTTCTCTCTGCCCACGCTCCCATGCACAGCTCAGCACAGCCGTCCTGAAGTCATCAGACACCAAGGGGCAATTTCACAGGAAAGCCAGTCCTCCTTACTTCATGCAGCTTTCACTGTGCCTGCAGAAACCCGTGGAAGCCCTGTTTTTTCTCATCCCTATTTGGGGTAGGCCCTCTGCTCCTGTCCGTCCACACTCCATGCTGAGGCCTGGCCTGGAGATTCCTCCAGAATCCCCTTCCTGGCTCCTGTGTCTCTCTGAGGTCCATTATAATAACTGTCTGCCCTGAGGCTGCTTTCATGGGCTAAGGGGCAGCATGTCACCTGCTCTCCAGGAAGTAATGAAGAACAGACACACCCCTTAGGGGAGCTGTGTGCTGTGACATCACAGGCTAGCACTTGGGGGAGCTGTCCTGGTCCTGGCTTGGTTACTGCCTGGCTGGGGGATCGCAGGTAG